CGATAAGTGCGCTTCTTGGACACTCTTAAATGGGTCGTTGGTGATTCAATTTCAGTTTAAACAATTTCATCCCGTCAAATCTTTTAAGCTTAAGTCATAAGCACGAAAGTAAGTATGACAGCTTGATTCTAGGACATACCAAAACTATTTGGGGTAAAATGAAAGAAATAAGCCACGTTCAGATCACATGTGGTTAGAAAACCATGCTTTTTGCTAAAGATCACCACTTATAATGATTGCAGGACACGCGAGATTAGGGTTGTGTCAGGTGTGCACTTGCAATCCTCATGACATGCATAGTTGCAGCGAAGACATGTGGTAGTATACCTTGGAGTCCCCATCGGTTCGATCTCTCCTGGTTTAGTGACTTCAAATGAGAATTAAAAAATGGCAAAACCTAATGCCGTTTTGGCATTCTTTGCCGTTTCGTTTTGTGAGAAAATTATCGAGTTCCCGGATAATAACAATAACAATGGCACACAAAGCACACTGATTGATTCATATGATTTCACTCAATTTAACAAACTTATATACAGACGAGCAACTAGGATTTCACAGGCTGGTCTTGAACAAGATAATTTATCTCTTAAAACCATAATCAATTAATGAATAATGTCTCTGTCTCTTCTTGTTTTCCGAGAATTCAGGAAACGATTTGTGACATTATACTTTTAAGAGGGGGGCATTGGGGCCCCTGGGAAACCGCAAAACCGGAGAAAAAAACCTCCAAAACCGAAAAATCGACGAAAAAAGCCAGCAAAACGAAAACCGCATGCAAACCTTACAAAACCACTACATTTTCACCTTTAAATGAGTCAAAAAGGAAAAACCGAAAACCGCATTGGAGTTTTCGTGAAAACCGAAAACCGAATGCAAAAACACGTAAAATCCGCAAACCGCTCTGAACATCAAAACCGAAAAACCGAACCTTTTTGGCCCAAATGAAAAACCGAAAAACCGATCCAAAAAACAGTCAAAACTGCAAAACCGAAAATCCCAAAGCCCCTCTCTTTTAGGTCATACTGTGCTTTTGAAATTTGAAACTCCTCAAAGGAAGGTTAGAGAAATTTATGATATAAGCTTACTTGATCTTATTATATTAGCTGCTTAAAAGCAGTTTAACGTTCCACTTGACTGGAACCGGGGAATTTGTTATTTCTTTACCAAGGCCACGTAGCTATGCGTCCATTTTTATCCGAAAAGAGGTAAATATTTAACCATATATGAGATAAAGAGGAATGGAGTGATATCTATTTCTGGAACCAGGATCCAGAGAGCTATGCTATTTTCATAGCATAATGCACTTTTTTGAAGCTATTTAGAGGAGAAGAGACTAAATTTTTTAAAATTTCTTTCTGTTGAATCGTTGCTTGGAGCTATCCCAAACATGTTATATTGTCAGAAGAGATGAGAAATTCTAAACTTATCTGTGATACTTTTAATCTATTTAAGCGCCTCAGAGTCTGGAGAAGATTCGATCACAGTCTTCTTTATCTGTTAAGTGAAGAGTTTCCGGGAAAGTATTTGAGCAAAGAAATTTGGAATTCCGCGCCAAATCTTACTAGATGGTGGAAATGACAAGAACTAAGGAAAAAGGTACGTTCCAAGACACTTGAGAAATTTCTTTCAAACAATACAAGATGGCGACCCTTTGATACTGTATGGCGAACCATAGATTCTGGTTAAGGTTTCTGTTTTTTCCTTCTTCTTATCTTACGTTCTATCTTACGGCATCAAAACTAATGCACTGAAATGAAGTAAATGATGCTATTAGATTTTAACGCCTTTATTCTTAAAGAAAAAAATGCGAAATTAGCAATGAATGAGGTAAACGATAACTCCTATAATTCTTGGTTCAAGAAATTGAAAATTTCTCCAAAAAATGCTTTCTAAAATCTCTCTGGGAAAAATCGTCTGTCTCAATATTCCGATGCCTTAGTTTTGAGGTACTATTACAAATACAAAATTAGCAATGAATAAGATAAATGATAGCTCCTATAAATCTTGATTCTAGGCTATAAAAACTCTCAAAAAAAGTTACTTTTTAAACTTCTCTTGAAATAATCGCTTATTTTGATATTTCCATGCTTAAAAGTTGTAAGGTACCGTTACAAAAGCAACAATTCGGTTTCTATAGTCGTACTTCGCCTGATAAAATGTACAAATACCTTATGTTATCAAAGGTAAGATCAAAATATTGAGACAATATGGAAGTTTTTTTAAATCAGCAATATAACGATCGATTTTTTAAATATCCATCAATACAATTTTACACTCTATCGAAACTGCAAATCTCTGGGACTTTCTAAGTCTCTTCTATATTTCATGGCTTATGATTGACGAGTTAGTGTCAGTGAAACGATCACCCGATCAAGTTATTCTTCGCTTCGTATTTTGTTTTAACTATCATGAAATTTTACGAAGTAACTTAAAAATTCTTCTGTGCGCCTACGAACAATGTTGAAGCTGATGACAAACCATAAGTTAATTAGCTTAAGATTTATCGCTGTTGATAATCAATTAGATCTGCAATCTCACTGCTGTATGTCTTC